TGGGGACAGCAAGGAGTCACCACGGCCGGTAGTCCCGACGTATGGTCCTAGGGCTCAGGTCTCTCAGTTGGCTTTTCATAGCCGATCATTTAGAGTTGAAAACAGCAGGTCTGGGACAGGTAGGGGTTTCGTAGCCGCAGGCAGAACAGTTGAAACTGGAATAGCAGCAAGGCCAGGCGGACTGGGGACAGCAAGGTGTCATCATGCCCGGTAGTCCTGACGTATGGTCCTAGGGCTCAGGTTCTCAGAGAGAAAGAGAGAACGAGAGAATTAGAGAGAGCATACTTAAATTCACACAGGACACTGGATAAGACAGGAGAAGTACTCCAGGTATAACCAACTAACCCCAGCCCCCCGACACATAAACTACTGCAGCATAAATACTGGAGGCTGAGACAGGAGCGGTCCGGAGACACTGTGGCCCCATCCGAAGAAACCCCCGGACAGGGCCAAACAGGAAGGATATAACCCCACCCACTCCGCCAAAGCACAGCCCCCGCACCACTAGAGGGATATCCCCAACCACCAACTTACAATCCTGAGACAAGGCCGAGTATAGCCCACAGAGGTCTCCACCACAGCACAAACCAAGGGGGGGGGGGGGCGCCAACCCAGACAGGAAGATCACGTCAGTAACTCAACCCACTCAAGTGACGCACCCCCCCCAGGGACGGCATGAAAGAGCACCAGCAAGCCAGTGACTCAGCCCCTGCAACAGGGTTAGAGGCAGAGAACCCCAGTGGAGAGGGGAACCGGCCCGGCAGAGACAGCAAGGGCTGTTCGTTGCTCCAGCCTTTCCGTTCACCTTCACACTCCTGGGCCAGACTACACTCAATCATATGACCTACTGAAGAGATAAGTCTTCAGTAAAGACTTAAAGGTTGAGACCGAGTCTGCGTCTCTCACATGGGTAGGCAGACTGTTCCATAAAAATGGAGATCTATAGGAGAAAGCCCTGCCTCCCGCTGTTTGCTTAGAAATTCTAGGGACAATTAGGAGGCCTGCGTCTTGTGACCGTAGCGTACGTATTGGTATGTACGGCAGGACCAACTCGGAAAGATAGGTAGGAGCAAGCCCATGTAACGCTTTATAGGTTAACAGTAAAACCTTGAAATCAGCCCTTGCCTTAACAGGAAGCCAGTGTAGGGAAGCTAGCACTGGAGTAATAGGACCAACTCGGAAAGATAGGTAGGAGCAAGCCCATGTAACGCTTTATAGGTTAACAGTAAAACCTTGAAATCAGCCCTTGCCTTAACAGGAAGCCAGTGTAGGGAAGCTAGCACTGGAGTAATATGATCAAATCCCCCGACCTCAACCCAACTTAACCAGCATGGCTATCACAGCATTCTGCAGCGATATACCATCCCATCTGGTTTGGGCTTAGTGGGACTGTCATTTGTTTTTCAACAGGACAATGACACAAAACACACCTCCAGGCTGTGTAAGGGCTATTTTACCAAGGAGAGTGATGGAGTGCTGCATCAGATGACCTGGCCTCCACAATCCCCCGACCTCAACCCAATTGAGATGGTATGGGATGAGTCGGACGGCAGAGTGAAGGAAAAGCAGCCAACAAGTGCTCAGCATATGTGGGAACTCCTTCAAGACTGTTGGAAATGCATTCCAGGTGAAGCTGCTTGAGAGAATGTCAAGAGTGTGCAAAGCTGTCATAAATGCAAAGGGTGGCTATTTGAAGAATCTCAAATATAAAATATATTTTGATTTGTTTAACACTTTCTTGGTTACTACATGATTCCATATGTGTTATTTCATAGTTTTGATGTTTTCACTATTATTCTACAATGTAGAAAATAGTAAAAATAAAGAAAAACCTTTGAATGAGTAGGTGTGTCCAAACTTGGTACTGTAAATATATGTGATGGGATGTATAGACATTATGGACAGTATGTGGATAGAATATAATAATATGCCATTTAGCAGACGCTTTTACCCAAAGCGACTTACAGTCATGCGTGCATACATTTTTGTGTATGGGTGGTCTCGGGGATCGAACCCACTACCCTGGCATTATAAGCGCCGTGGTCTACCAGCTGAGCTACAGAGGACCACATATATATAGTATATCTGAAGAATACGTGTACAGCAATAGTTGAATAGAATGGACTTCACTAGAATACAATATATACATATGCAATGGCTACCCGTCATTCAGGACAGAGCCTGTTTTGCATGTTATTTTGGCATTATTAAGTGTCACATATCAGTTTGCAAACAATGTAAAACATATAATCATTGAGTTAATAAAGCTGCATAAAAACAGTTTCTTTTTTACTTTCTGGAGTAAGTCAGCTCCAAAATGCAGGTGTTTCAGCCTAGCTCAGTGCTTTCTGTGGTGGGGCAGCCATCAGAAAATACGGAGCGTAGGGGTTGGTAATGTTCTCTAGTTGCGACGTGATCGGCTCAGTGTTCTGTCACTCATGGGGACACTACTTCACCACAAAATCTAAGGGGAGTGCTCGAAAATTAAAGCCGATTGGGTGCTGCCATAGAGTTACATTAGAAGTGCCCATCCAAGAAGGCTAAAGGTCATTTGCTTCAGATAAAATGACGTCAAATCACGCAGTGGTGGAAGAAGTACCCAATTGTCATACTTGAGTAAAAGTGAAAGTCACCCAGTAAAATACAACTTGAATAAAAGTCTAAAAGTATTTGGTTTAAAATATACTAAAGTATCCAAAGTAATTGTAATTGTTAAAATATACTTAAGTATCAAAAGTACAAGTATAAATGATTTAAAATTCCTTATATATTAGGCAAAGCAGTCGGACACATTTTCTAGTTTTTTTTAAAAAATTTACAGATAGCCAGGGGCAAGCTCCAACTCTCAGACATCATTTACAAACGAAGCATGTCTTTAGTGAGTCCGCCAGATGAACTCAGTCACCGTGTCTGTGTATATGTCAATGTTATTCGCAGAGGCAACCCGGAACATGTCCCAGTCCGTGTGACCAAAACGTATTTAAAGCCTATTTTCACAAAATACATTTTAAATCACATCCGGTCGGAATTATCAGAATTTGTGATTATTGTTTTAATGACAACTACATTTCAAGAAACAAAATAATCTTTATACATGCTTTACAGAATGTACAAGTAGTCAAGATTAGAAAAATACACTTGACAAAATGCAAAACTTCCAATAAGACAGAAAACAAGCAGCATTTTAAATATTGCCAGAGCATTACTGCTGAACTTTGGTAGAATTACAAAAAACAAGATGTTCTGAGAGCAACACAAAGCAGACACTAAGATGTGTTAGTAAAAATAAAAACATGTTTCAACAAAAATTAAAATGCATGTCCTGTGGACATAGTTGAGCTCCCATTAGAAAGAATGGTCCATATAAAATCCAACATCATTTAGAGGAGCAATACACAAAGACTTGGGTTGGAGAACGGCTTCCACTGGAGCAATGAGTGAGTCATAAATGTGTGATGGTTAAGCGATCAGCTACAATAACTACCTGCCTTAATTATCCAGCAGAGAGCATAATCTGTGATCCCTATTTAAGCTAATAATGAATGCAGTGGCATGGGCTTGGAATGGTTTTGTACCAGATGCTTTCTCAAGCAATGCCACACAGAATGTCTCATCTAAAGGTTTTGATTTCAGCAGGAATGCATTATGTAACACAGTTAAATAAATAGCATGTGACAAGAAACACTTGTGTTTATGCAGTATCTGCAATGTTGTGGAAATCTATCTCAAGTTAGGATTCACCCAGGAGTGACTACAAAAACAATATACTGACAGACACACATGCAAAAAATTAAAATGAAATTAAAACTTACTACAATTTAGGAATAAAATGATTCTGCTAAGGTCTTGAGGGACATAGTATTGAATAGATTAATGACCATATGTACACATACATGTTTAATACATATAATACATTCTTCACAGTCCCAAGGTAAAATCTGGTAAGTATCTAGGGTTGATGAAATTGGTGGTAAAGGCATATTATAATTCTAGGAATCTGAAATGGCATGCATACTGCATAATAAAACATACCACCATAAGAGGTAAGTGCCTGTAAAATAAGATTGAGGAAAATATTATCAGTGCATATAGGTGACTAGAAACCATACGGTTCCCTGATGGAGTGTTACTGAGAATGCCTGTTGAAAACCATCTGAAAGAACCATCAGAGGCCACCGAAACCATGATTGTCAAATGTGCAATACCAAATATGTTATTCGCTTTGACAGTGCGCTTTCATATAAAAAAAACATGAGTAACTGTCGGTACGACTGCCTCTATTTGACACAAGGCAAAACAATCTGAGCTTAAGATACATTGATGAGAATAGGGGAAATTAATATTGCATATATACACACACACCACGTCGGGTGTCAGTCTCTGGGTTTGTATAATAGCAGACTGTTAGTCAATACGGATGGCTAGAGGTGGGATCCATTCAGTGAGGATCCTTCTTGCCCTATAGGTCCTATTAGGTACGTACCACTCACTGCTGAACAAGCAACAACTGGGGTCTCTTTGACCCCGATAGTCCTGGACGAGAGAGCAGAGGTGGTCCTGGACTTGTACCTTAAATCATGAAGGCTGCTCCAACAAGTGACTGTACAAATAATGTGGCAACTGCAAGCGTAAAGCACAATGCTCAGGAGATCCATCAACACTGCTGCCATTCTCTACTTTTGTACAGAGGACGGTGTGAGCACGTTCAAACTTCTGGTGTCTCAAAACTCAAAAGGCAGCATCCAACATGGCTCTTTGATGCATACATTCATAGTTTCCTCTAGAAAGAGAGGGAGGAAGGGGAGGTGGAGGGAATCGGGGGGGGGGGGGCGTCAGTCACCTGTTCAGTCCTTTTTCAAATTCGTAGGAACAAATCGTCTCTGAGTGATTGAAAGTAATGTAAACATACAAGAAAACATTTTTGGCAGAAAGTGATACGTCTCTTTGGAGGTAGTGGCTGGAGAAGAGGATGGCCAGGTGTATAGGGGAGGGGCCTGGCTTTATGTGGGGGAGTGGGTGTGCTCTTGAGGCTTAGTCCTATAAGAGGCACTTCTGTGGTCCTGTGTGCTCTGGGAAAGGGAGGCATCCCCCTCTCCACTCCTCTCCTCTCCCCCCACACCAACTGAAGACACGTGGGGAGTCTTGTGCACATTCACAGGCTGCTGAGACAGACCTGGTTGGGGCACTGTAGACAAGTCCTCTCCTTTGCCCCAAAACGACCTGGAGGGAACATCTGCAGAGAGACCAAACATACATTATTACTCAACAAAAAGGGTTTGCATCCATAGGAGCTCATAGATTAGACTGTGCCAGAAAACTGACTGTTAAAACTAGTGTCTGAGCTCCTAATATAAAATGAATGTCTGTCAGTTCACAGTATGTCTGAGGTCACTGTTAGATAACCAGTCTGTGAAATCACTGCCTAAACAGATCTCTGTGAGCTCATTGTTGACATGCATGCCACGGAGGTCAGATAGCTTGTCTGTAGCTGGTCTCTCACCGGTGCTGTAGTGTTGTTCTGGGGGGCTGAGGGCTGTGCTCAGCCTCTTGGTAAGGTCGTGGCTGGTGAGGAAGACTGAGGAGTCCTGGTTGTTGATGAGGCTCTCCAGGGCTGTGTCCTCATGCTGGGCGTGCTGCTCCCTGTAGGGCTCCTTGGGGAGGTGGGTCATGATGCCAGAGAGACCCTTGTCCAGGGGGTCATCCTCGGCCAGGTAGGCGTAGGGGCAGTACTCCCGGGTTCGAGAGTAGATGTTAGCGTTGTCGTAGCAGTCCGAGCAGATGACCAGCGGCCCTGCACCACCTGTTGAGGACAGTCAACTACATACTCTTACTCTGAAACAAATCCCTACTATCTGATGGAGACCTTTCAACAAACTGTGCTGTAAAAGTGTTGTTTAGAAGATCGAGTTTTGTTGGTTGGTTGGTTGGTTGGTTGGTTCTAATGACTAAACCCACCTGTAGGCACCCCAGCCAGTCCCTCGCGGGGCTCCCCAGGATGGAAGCTGCTCCGTCCCGTAAACAGAGAGCCCACGTGGCAGTGTAGCATCCCGTTGGCCTCGGTGTCCACCTCGCTGCCTGTGTCACCATAACACACACCTGGACATAACACAAACAGGATGGGGACTCATCTTTCTTTCACCAGTCAGGGGCAATAGTTTACCAGTCAATCAAAATTTGAGCAAACCATCTTTAGTAAGTACAAAAACAGAAAAAACATTGTCATGTCAAAGGGCCTCCGATGAAGGAGACAGAGGGTGAATCTAGGAAGTCAATATAGTAAGGTTACCGTCAGTGCCCTTGTGGACATAGCCATTGGACAGTGGTGGCATGAGCTGCTGGTGGCTCCCTGCTTCAGAGTTGCTGTATCCCTCCTGAGGCTCCGACAGCGTGCGCTGAGAGGACAGGTAGCTGGGGATGTCCGCCGGCAGGTTCAGCTCATCTGTGTTGGTTATACTGTAGTCCTCGCTCTTCCGTCGCATGTGGTAGATGACGAAGACCCAGACCAGCGAGGTGCCCACCACGCAGCAGACCACCACGATCACCACGATGCCCACCGTGGTCCAGCCGTCCTGGTCGTAGCCGCCGGCCGTGTCACAGTTGGGCGATGGCGACACGCTGAGGTAGATGTGGCCGCGTTCAGTGCCCAGCGTGTTGGACATGATGCATGTGTACTTCCCGGTGTCCGCCGGCCCCGCATCCACAATGATGAGTAGCTGGTTGGCGGCAGCGAAGAAGTGACGCTCTGTGAGGACCAGGGGCCCGTCGTCCTTGGTCCAGTTGAGACGGGGCGCAGGGCTGCCTCCTGCTATACACTGGAGCACCGCCGTCTCCCCACGAGCTACCATCCTGTCCTCCAGAGGACGCATTAATGACGGCGTTTCTGGGAGGAGAGAGATTTACATTTAAGTTCACATTTAACAATCAGCAATCCAATTATGAACACATTATATAAAACTGTATGTATTGACCTGATAATTGATAAAGAGATACTCTAAGTGGCAGTTCACCTAGCACAGTGAGTGTAGCGTTGGCTGACAGGCTTCCTGCAGCATTCTGGGCTGTGCAGCTGTACACCCCCATGTCCTCAGTCTTTACATTGGCAATGAAGAAGATGTCATCGTCAGGCATTACGTGCATCCTCCTCTCCCGGGCAGCAGGGAAGTCTGTGCCCCCGTCTTTCTGCCAGGCAATCTGGGGTGAGGGGTGGCCCTCGGCGGCACACTCCAGTCTGGCCATGGTGCCTGTACGGATGGTCAGATCCATGGGTATCTTCAGGAAGGACGGTAGCTCTGAGAGAGGAAAGTAGGAAAAAAAGGTTGAAGATTGCAATGCCTTGATATGTAAGCCCAACCATGCCAGCTCAAACTTAGCTCAATGCCAACCAAGAAACATGATAACAGTTCGTAAATGTATAGAAAAAACGCCTTAAACTTTTTAAGAGAAACTTTAAAGCCCCCTCACCATTGACTGTGAGCTTGGCCCGGTTGGAGTAGTTGGCACCAAAATGGTTGGAGACTACACACTGGTAGCGTCCCTCGTCTGTGAAGTTGACGTTGAGCAGGTGCAGCACGGTGGTGTAGACCAACTCTCCCTCCTGGTAGCGGGCGTAGTTCTGCATCTCTGCCTCGTACAGCACCTCCCCGTCCTTCCTCCAGGCCGTGGTCATGGGGGAGTCACTGCTGCTGGACGCCAGGCAGCTCAGAGTCACGTTGGTCCCACGCAGGGCGGTGGCAGTCTCAGGGTGCTCAGTGATCCGGGGCTTCGGGAAATAATCTGTGGGAAAGAGTGGAGGGAGAGGGCCATGAGTTAATAAAAAAAAATTAAAGAAAGGTTCTGAGACACGTTGTGTGATAATTGTCCCAGTCAGTAGCTAAGTTTCCATCCAACTGGCGACAGATTTTCAGGTGAATATTCAAAACAATATGCGCATTTTCCCACAAGACGTGTTTCCATCAAATTGGCTTGTTGCAGATAAAAGACTGTGCGTGATAACATAGTGCACATACAATCACTTTTACGGTTAAATTCCCATGTACCGAATACAAAATACAAGTTAAATGTGTTTCCATCGCATTTTCAACTCTACTGATGGTTTTATATAGAGAATGTGCCTACTCTGGTCTTGGCACGTGCAACCAACAGCTCACAGATACAGTGCGGGTGTAGCCTACATGAGATTATTATGGACAAAAGAGCGTGATCATTTCTATTTGTCAAACGGCAGCCAAGCATCGATCATCATGAATAAAACCCTCAGTATTTATTGGAAAGGAGCATCAAGCTCGTCACCGTGCACTTTCACCACCCTGTGAAGTTCATCATTACTTATTTAATCTGTAGCCTAGTAAACGGCATACTTTCGAGTCGTAGTGGGAGGACCACACAACATGTCATCACGTAACTCTAAGTTTACTTCCAAATGATGGTTATTATATCAATATTTGCGTATAAAAGCGTTTCCACCTCCATTTCTCGCATGATTAATTTTACCGACAAAAAGATCACACAAATGTGATGTTTCCATCAGGTCTGTTGTGACATTTTTTATTTGACATTTACTTTACTCATATAGAAAGGATGGATGGAAACCTGGTTAGTAAGATCTGGCCCAGACTAAATACAGCAGGGTAGGTAGCTAGGTGACTAACCACAGACAAGCTCCTCCAGGCTGACAGACAGGACGTTGCGGCCCAGCAGGCTGGCAGGGTGGGCACACATAGCTGAGACAGACTGCAGGAAGTGGTTGTCAGTCAACCACGGGCCCAGCCACTGCAGCTGGCAGTCACACAGCAGGCTGCTAGTGTTCAGGACACTGAGGACAGGACACACAGCCACAACAATATGAAATTATTAAAGCATTCTTCAATTTGTAATTGTATTCTATATGAAATAAATATTGTAACCTCTGCTACAAGAACTCAGGACCACCACCTCAGACATTAGTAGGTCCTACTTACAAGACTTTCAGCTTCATGTGAGACAAAGAATCAGGGTGGATGGACATGATCCCATTCTTGCTCAGGTCTCTGTTGGAGAAAATAAATATAAATGAAGTGCTGCGCTAGCATCATGACATTATCAAAGTGGTTTCCTATGATACTAGCGCAATAAAACAGCTGCACTGGGGTAATCAGAACCATCTCCTGTCTCGGGCTTGAAGTGATAGCTGTCTGTTAATGGAGACCAACCATCTCTCAGAGTGGGTTTGCTATAGAGGTACTTACAGGTGCTCTAGTTCCTCCAGACCTTCAAAGGCCTTCTTTGTGATAGATTTGATCTTGTTCCGCTGGAGAATCCTGGGGGATAAACAGTCTCAGATTAAATATGCCTACAAATATACTGCTGATATCAGTATCCATAGCAACAACATTAATATATATTATGCAGAATGCCCTTACAATGTGTTCAGCTTCTTCATTCCAACAAACACACCAATGGAGTCCTCAATGGCCCAAGAGATCTCATTATTCCGTATGTCTCTGAAATGCAAACAGAAATACTGTATGTAAGAAAAAATACTTTCCCCAGAATAAGAAGCACAAAGCTCACCCTGAGCCTCATTGCTTGGTGAGAGAGAAGTTAATTTCTGCTCTGTGTGTCTAAACCAATTTCATTCACTTGGCAAATGTAAAGCGGCATACTTTACAGAGTGTCATAGCTCAGTACTCCTGCAGTTCTGATGAGGGGATTAATTGGCTGCGTTTAGCATTTAACGGTTCACGGCTCCTTCTAAAACCTGCAGAGGGCTTGTGTTCACAGGACGGGTCATGCGCGCTTTTGTTTCTCCTTCCACATGCCTGGGTGGCTCTCAAAGGGCCTGAACCCTCTAATTCCCCCTGCCACGGAGGGCCCAGGGAGGTGTGCTGACCCCGAGCCCTGACTTTCTCTCTTTGTAGCCCAATGCCTTCTTTGGAACTCAGCACGTCAATTGTGTTAGTGCCCCTTCTCCTCTTCCCAGAGCGATTTTGGAAAGTATTTGGTTAATTGAGCCAATCTTCTGGCCGGAGGCCACATTCACTATTTATTCGGTACTCAACATTATTCTTCCTGCCTCAGAGGTCTTTAAGAACAATTATGCGTAGTCTATGTTTGTCATTATTGCATTAAACACTACACAGTCCAACTAAGCAATGGAAAGAGTGGTTCTATACTACAGGCAAAGACATGATGATGAGAACATGAAGGTGCTAGTTACTATACTACAGTTTAGTGGTTTACCTTACAAAAGTCTAATAGACTAATCAACAAAACAAAGACAGGACAAATCAACAAATATAAAAAAACACAAACCTACTGTAGTTTGCAGCCTTCATCAGAATGCAGAGGTGCCAAAAACATGTTAGTGTTTATTGTGTTATGTGAATGTATAATGAGTGAATGAAAGGCACAGGTTTTTAATACTGTGGTGTGACGTCCTTACAGTGAGTGCAGATTGGCCAAGCTGCTGAAGACTCCCTCTCCCAGGTGACTGACCGAGTTATCTCCCAGGTTCAGGTTCTCCAGAAGACCCAGTCCACTGAACGCAGTCTCCTCCAGCCGGGTCAGGTGGTTGAAGGACAGATCCCTGAGGAGGACATCCACAGGAGACAAGCTTGGACAATGGTCTTGTGCAATCACACTGTACTAAAACATCCGGGCCCCTTACGAATTAGCATAAATACATGTGCAACATAAATTATCTGCAATACACCCTCCCCAAGTCCCAACTATATACTGGTCCTTCAGCTTTATAAAAGGGGTTAAAATTGCTCTTATGCAAAACTAGTGCAGATGCACTCCCGTCTTGTACTAGTGTGAGAAAAGTGGGGATGGGGTTAGGAAGAAAACACTCACAGTTCCTCCAGATTTTGGCAGAACTCCCAGGCGTCTGGTCGGATGATGCCGATGGCGTTCTGGCTGATCCGCAGGACACGCAGCATGCGCAGGCCATACAGCCAGCCTTTGTTGACCTCCGTCAAGTTGTTGTGCTCCAGCTCTCTGAATATATTAGAAAACAAAGGTTGAGGTATTAAAAAGACAGGATATCACACCTCCTAGTCCTAATTGCATATAAACACATACTGTAATGAACTTTCTAATACAAGACAATAAGGCAAAATAACTCACAGCTCCTCCATGTTGTTCAGCCCAAAGAAAGCACCGTCCATCAGCTTAGTTATGCCATTCCGCTGCATCTTCAGTGATTTCAGTAAGTCCATCCCTTTGAAGGTCAGGCTGTCCACTATCTTGATCTTGTTGCGCTTTAATTCCCTAGGGTAGTCAGACAGGCAGTTTAGAACCATTTGTTTTAACTACTCGAAAACAGTGCAACATTGAATCTGTGAAACATACAAATTCTGTCATGAATGCAAACTTTTGTTAGAAAATGTATTTAACTGCTCATAATTACTATGGGAATATATTGACTAAAGATGAACATTGACTTACAGAAACTGCAGCTGGGGAAGCCTGAATACTTTGTACGGCAGCATTGTTATTCTGTTCCTGTTCAGCTTCAGGACCAGCAGGGAGCTGGAAATGTTGTCAAAGCAGCCAGGTTCAAGGATACTGATCTTGTTATTGCTTAAATTCCTGGGAGACAGAGAAGCAGAAACACAAAATGAACAAACCAATGACAACAAGTAAAGTAGAATACCCTTCTGGGCTATGGCCAAATACTGGGTTATGACTGAAATGACCAGCTCTTCCCTCATTAGAAGTAGTATACAATAGTTGGAAAACAATGCCACAGGCAGGACCCACAAGTATTTCAGCTGCATTGGTGGGAAGGCTCCAGCCTTGATCTCTGAGATAGAGTTAGATGACAGGTCAAGTGTCTCCAAGTAGATGTATGGCTGCAGCTGATGCATCGACAGTTCTGAGATCAGGTTGTGGACCCTGTGCACAATGATCAGTAACGTACATAATTATCAACATGAACCTATATGATGACACCATCAATGTGAACATGTAATGACACAAACAAACCATGTAGGCTATGACTAAGGGAAGACAGAAGTGATTCCTTTCTTTGACACTTCTCTATCATAATACAGGACATCTAGGAATCACATTGCACAACTTGCAAGACTGACAGGAGGATAAAATAGTTTTGACTTACAATAAGAGTGTTGTGATGTTTGAGGTAACTTCTCCAAGATATGGAACAGTTGTCAGATCATTGTGATTCATAGTGCTGAAAAGGAGATTGCATTATTTATTACATAACGTTACAGGAGAAGTCCATAGCCACCTTTCAGTTAGTCCGCTACAGTGGATGTAGCAGTTGAGTTGGCATCTTTACAAGAAAAACAAAAATTATCACATCCAGATTTTATACTAGTATCTTGTGAGTTAAACAACTAATATAGACTTAGCTCGCAAGCTAACAAGGCCAGGTGGCTTGCTAAGGAGCCACCACAGAGAACATGGGAAACCCACTGTTGCTTGTCAACAAACGTGCTAGCTAACGTTAGCTAGCCGTAGTAGCTAACTAGGCGAGCTGCTTACAGATGAGTAATCCCGTGAGGTGGATCCAGGGGGGCCACGGACAACCTTTTCCTATTGCAATCCAGGATTTGGATTTCGTCTGATCCCCTCGTACAAGAGCATGGAGCAGGGCAGGAATCCACTTCCCAGCAGGCACTCAAACTCAACAACAAAAAGAGGGCCGGGGGTCTGGGCCAGGCTTCCGCCATTTTAATAGTCTAGCTAACTATCAATACCTACTGTACTGTAGCTAGTTACGTGGCTCGCTTCTGATAATTATGAAATATGTCTCACCAACAACCGATTCCTATAACTTGATATTAATAAAATAACGCCCCGCTTTCACGAGTCGGAAAACCCATTTGTCGCATAACATCGGGCAAGTCTTTCTTCCAATTTGCGCAAGGCATCCCACTCCCACCACGGATTTTTCCTTCTTTCCCTTTCCGCTTCCAATCTCAACACAACTCCTAGCTAGCTTTCGTTAAGTAACCCGAGCGTCGATGATCCACGAACCAAGTTAATTTCACTTCATATCAAACGGCTTTGGATCGTCCAAAGTGTTCTGGCTAATTTACCACAATAAATCGCTAACGTTAGCTACCAAGTAGATATGATTTCCCCGACTTCTATTTAATCGAAGGAACAACAAAAGCGACTTGCGTTCTGTCGACACTAGTTATCGCAGCCACTTCTTCTTCGATGAAGTTTTACAGCGGTTGGCATCCAATATGTTGCATTACCGCCACCTACTAGACTGGAGTACAACTCCCTTATATTTTGCTTGAAAAATAAAATAAAGTAATACCCTACCATCTAACGCTACACTCACAAATTCAAAAATAAATGAATAATAATTTTTAACACCACCCTACTCCACTATTTCAATCTATTTATTCCTACCTCATGCCCTCAACCTGAAAGGATGGGACACCACTTAACACACCCTGTAACTCTTCTGATGTCAACTCTCACACACCCAAATACCTCTCTGCAGCTGCCACCACAACCTCAATTTTCTTCGACTTACGTTCCATCCCTGCAATACAATTAATAACCATTGCTATAAATGCTAAAAATCCAATCTTACTGAAACATATATCACTTGTTGGCCTAGCCCTCTGTACTGGTACATATCTACTACTCTCACCACTCCTCCCCCCTTGACCCATCTTCCTCTACTTTCTTCACTGCCTCACTACTCTTACACTGGAAACCTCAACCTGCCTCTCTCGCACGGGACATTTCTGATTCCCAGCCCCATGGGCACCCCTACAATTAGTGCATACCACTACTTTCCCCAATGCTACACATTCTTTTGTCTCGTGCCCTTCTTACACCTTGGAACCTCCCTCCTACACATTGCTGCCACATGCCCATAAGTTTGACACCTGTAACATCGTAATGTATTCGGCACATAAGCTCGTACAGGATGACTTATACAGTGAGGGAAAAACGTATTTGATCCCCTGCTGATTTTGTACGTTTGCCCACTGACAAAGAAATGATCCGTTTGGAATCTGATTGATTGATTGCTTCTGTGGACAGGTATCTTTTATACAGGTAACAAGCTGAGATTAGGAGCACTCCCTTTAAGAGTGTGCTCCTAATCTCAGCTCGTTACCTGTATAAAAGACACCTGGGAGCCAGAAATCTTTCTGATTGAGAGGGGGTCAAATACTTATTTCCCTCATTAAAATGCAATTCAATTTATAACATTTTTGACATGTGTTTTTCTTGATTGTTTTGTTGTTATTCTGTCTCTCACTGTTCAAATAAACCTACCATTAAAATTATAGACTGATAATGTCTTTGTCAGTGGGTAAACATACAAAATCAGCAGGGGATCAAAAACTTTTTTCCCTCACTGTATATCCTAACTTCACTTTGTCGGGCAAAGACTCAACTTCAAAACTCAAAAGAACAGACAATCACTCTTTTGTTTCCCCACTCTCGCCACCATGTTTGCGTCGGACCAAACAACGAGCATCACAAACACTGGGAATCTTCCCCTTCAGTTGGTCAACTTTTACATTTACTGCTACCCCAGTAATCACTCCTTTTCTTGAGAATGAAACAATTCACATTTCTTGCCCCCATTTGTTTAACTTCGAGCGCCTTCTCCCTCTGACCAGCAGAAACACAAACAATTATCACTAGACCACTTCTGGTTACCCTCACCGATTCCACTATACCCAACTATTTTTTCACCCACCCTGGAACCACAAATGGATCAGCCAAAAGGCAAGGGTCTACTTTTTCCAAAATCTTCACTCCTACTGTTACAGACTCATCTTTATCCTGACCCTCGGTGCAAGCCTCGGGCTCCAAGTACTTCACCACACCTACCACCTCCGATACTTCACCCTCATTCACTTCCATTTCTCCTCACTCTGCTTACATTTTCTACCATTCTTCTTTAACAAACCTTCTCCCTTCTTAACCGACTCAAGCTCACAATCTTCCTCCCTCTCTCTCTTAGACCTCCTCTGCCTCTCTTTTCCCCTCCATTCCTCTTCCGTATTCCAAGTATACGTTTCCTTATGATAATACTGCACTTCTCCTAACATACATCTTGTTCTTGCTTTTTTATTTTTTATTTTTATTTTATTTTACCTTTATTTAACTAGGCAAGTCAGTTAAGAACAAATTCTTATTTACAATGACGGCCTACACCGGCCAAACCCGGACAACGCAAAGGGACGCCATTTACGAGGCTCTCCAACCGAATCTTTGTCTAACGTTACTTCCACCTTACTGATGGTTTGCACCAGGGGACTCTGGCATCGCTGCCTTTCTCTCAATTTTCTTATTTTGTTCTTGGCTAACACGTCCGAAAAGTTCAGCGCTCTCTCTTGATTTCATGGCGGTCCGCAAACAATCGTTTAAGTGCATGCCACCACTTACTGGAAAATACGATCAATCATGATCTGCCCAATTCTGTACTACCATGAAAAATAAATAAATACATCCCTACTAACTTCTACCACACCCAACCCCCCAAAACCCTTCCCCAACCCCAATTTCTGAACAGGCCTCCAAACTATGCCAGTACCAGCAGAAACACCAGCCCCGACCTTAGGTCCACTTACTACAGGAGCAGCCATGGAAGCTCCATCATTCCACACCGTAGTTCTACCAATCTGTCTTACAGCCTCTGCATACCATACATCATGACTAATTCTATATCTCTGAGCCTCTCTAGCCTCTCTCTGTACCTGGCATCCACCAAATGCTGCACTATGTTCCCCCCCACAATTACAACACTTAACCTCCACATTGCTCCCACATTCACCGTAATCATGTTCCCCTCCACACTTGGCACATCTTTTCCTTCCTTTACATTGAACAGCTACATGTCCCATTCTTTGGCATTTAAAACACTGTAATGGGGATGGGACAAATTCTCTGACATTGAAACTAAGGAATCCTATCTGTACTTCACCAGGCACAACCTTCTCAAACCTCAGCAGCACAGATAGGCTTTAACTTCTTTGACCTTCTTTCCTACTGATCAACCTTTTGGCCTCAATCACTCTTCCTCCCTTCACATTTTCTCTAATATCATCTATGGACATAGATATTGGGACCCCAGTGATGACTCCCCTCAATCTAGCACAAGCACCAGGGACATGGCTTTTAATCTTCTTCCCATTAATCTTTTCCAATTTTCAGAATCTTCTCTTGCTGAGCCTGACTACCACAAAATATTAACTATCTACTATTTCCAATGAGCTGAGCTAATTTCACTTCACCTACCTCTTTCTCTAGGGCAAAGTCATAACTATGGCTAAACCCCACCTATTGCTACAATATTTAAAACCTAACCTTATCCCTAATCTTAACCACACTGATAACCTTATACCTAACGTTAAATTAAGACACATTTGTGGCTGTTTTATGAATATCTGGGAATCTTGAAAAATCTGGGAATATTTAGCCAAGGAAACATTTCTGGTTGGTCTAAGGGAATCTAAAACAGTTAGGAAGGGAGACTTAACATGGGATTAAGTGAAGTAGCAGGAAATATGTTGAATGAGCAACTAATGAGCATGGAGAGCCTCACACATTTCACGAAATTACCTTATATATCTTTCAGTCTAATATGGCTATTTACTTTTGTAGCGCTTCATTAGAAGCATGCAAGTATACTGAACAAAAATATAAACGCAACATGTAAAGTGTTTTTCTCATGTTTCAAGAGCTGAAAATAGAGATCCCAGAAATGTTCCATAAGCACAAAAAGCTTATTTCTCTCAAATGTTGTGCACAAATGTGTTTACATCCCTGTTAGTAAGCATTTCTCCTTTGCCAAGATAATCCATCCACTTGACAGGTGTGGCATATCAAGAAGCTGAATAAACAGCATGATCATTACACAGGTGCACCTTGTGCTGGGGACAATAAAAGGCCACTCTAAAATGTGAGATTTTGTCACACAACACAATGCCACAGATGTCTCAAGTTTGAGGGAGCGTGCAATTGGCATGCTGACTGCAGGAATGTACACCAGAGCTGTTGCCAGATAATTTCTGTTAATTTCTCTACCATACACCGCCTCTAAGGTCGTTTTAGAGACTTTGGCAGTAAGTCCAACCGGCCTCACAACCGCAAACCACATGTAACCACGCCAGCCCAGGACCTCCACATCCGGCTTCTTCACCTGCAGCATGGTCTGAGACGAGCCACCCGGACAGCTGATAAAACTGTGGGTTTGCACAACCGAATAATTTCTGCACAAACTGTCAGAAACCGTCTCAGCCGTGCTCGTTGTCCTCACCAGGGTCTTGACCTGACTGCAGTTCTGCATCGTAACCGACTTCAGGGGGCAAATGCTCACCTTCGATGGTCACTAGCATGCTGGAGTAGTGTGCTCTTCACGGATTAATCCCAGTTTCAACTGTACAGGACAGATGGCAGACAACGTGTATGGCGTTGTGTGGGCGAACGGTTTGTTGATGTCAACGTTGTGAACAGAGTGCCCCATTGTGGCGGTTGGGTTATGGTATGGGCAGGCATAAGCTACGGACAACGAACACAATTGCATTTTATCGATTGCAATTTGAATGCGCAGAGATACCGTGATGAGATCCTAAGGCCCATTGTCGTGCAATTCATCCGCCGCCATCACCTCATGTTTCAACATGATAATGCATGGCCCCATGTCGCAAGGATCTGTACACAATTTCTGAAAGCTGAAAATGTCCCAGCTCTTCCATGGCCTGCATACTCACTAGACATGTCACCCATTGAGCCTGTTTGGGATGCTCTGGATCGACATGTACGACAGTGTGTTCCAGTTCCCACCAATATCAGGCAACATCGCACAGGCATTGAAGAGGAGTGGGACAACATTCCACAGGCAATCAACAGCCTGATCAACTCTATGCGAAGATGTGTAGCGCTGCATGAGGCAAATGGCGGTCACACCAGATATTAACTGGTTTTCTGATCCACACCTATACCTTTTTTTAAGGTATCTGTGACCAACAAAAGTAT